TATTCATTAATTCCCATGCCCAGCTCTTGAAGTTAGATTTGGAAATTATGAATAGACCTGCATTTCAAATGTGAGGTTTGTCATATGTGAAAGCAATTTTTCAAACATTGTTGTTTTCCATTCCTAGAAATACTGAAGGGTGGAATCAAATTTGCCAGTAACAATCATTTATGTAACGTGGAGACCATCCAGTGGATTGACATTCTGAACATGAAGAGTCAGCCTAAAATCAAAGAGCCAGAACCAAACTTAGCAAGACAATGTATGTCCCTCAGGAGTCTGTTTTTTATACATATATATTAAATGGTACTAATTCATTTTGCATTTTGAATAAGAATGTTCTACTTTACCTCCCACAGGTAAGAAGTGTGATCCAAGCTGTTACAATGCTTCCTGTTGGGGCCCTGGCCCCCAAAACTGCCAAAAAAGTAAGTGGTCTTCAACTTATTAAGTGATTAAATCCATTTTTTTTTTACATTTTAAATCTTACTGAATTAGTGACAACATACTATTTAGAATCGTTTCATAAAAATATAATGAAAATAAAACATAAAAAATATTTCAACAGTTAGTGACTGGAAACAACATACTGTATACAGTACACTACTGTTCAGAAGTTTAGAACTGAAATCTCTTATGCTCACCAAGGCTGCAGTTATTTGATCAAAAATATAGTAAAAACTGTAATAATGTGATATACTATTACTACTTAAAATAACTGTTTTCTATTTCATATATTTTTAAATTGTATTTCTTCCTGTGAAATACAATTTCTTCCTGGCAAAGCTGAATTTTTAGCAGCCATTACGCAAGGCTTTAGTGTCACGTGATCCTTCAGAAATCATTCTATTGTAATAATTTGGTGCTCAAGAAACATTTTCGTATTATTATCAAAGTCAAAAACTGTTGTTCTGCTTAATATTTTTGTGTAAAACATGCTTTTTTCAGGATTATTTGATGAATGGAAAGTTCAAAAGAATAGCGTTTGTTTAATATAGAAATCTTTATACATTCTTTGATCAATTTTGATCTTTTTTTTATTAAACACCTACAATTTTGAATGGTAGTGTACTATATAGAAACATTTAAAAAATACGAAAAAATAAGAAAGAAACCTTTTAGAACATATAATATTTAGTGACTGAAAATGATTTGTGGCATTCACACTTGAAATTTTTGATCCAGTTTGATATGTAACCCTTAGTTAACATAAATCTAGGTTATCTGGGGTGTTTTGCGTTTTTTATTAATTTTTTTTCCACAATTCATATTGTTCACATACTGGCCACATTTAACCCTGTGATAGTAAAGCATAGTCCCACTGCAAAATGCACTGGAGTAACAATTTGGGATTTCTGCATTACTGTATGAGTAGTTTTTAATGTGCCTCTTAAGTTTGTTTAGTTGATCTTTGGCTCATATTTCACAACTGCTGAAAAAGCACTACTTGACCCCTGGAGGAATATTTTGAAAACTCTTCAGAGGAATATTGAATTGTTGTTGCTGTGCTCAAGTGAACGCAGATAGTACTTTTAGGATCTGTGAGGTTTCTTCTCGCTCTGTATCTAGTGACTAAGGTGATCTGTGCGGAGCAGTGTTCAGGGAGGTGTAAGGGACCCAAACCCGTTGACTGCTGTAATGAACATTGTGCTGCTGGCTGCACTGGACCAAAACCAACCGACTGCTTGGTGAGAACCACACGTATACAGATAACCATTCACTTGTTTGATCATTCATCTTTCAATACAGACTGAATGCTATAAATAGCAAGCTTAAATGCAGTTAGTGAAGTCACCTGTAACTGTAGAAGTATTGTTTAGAGATGATTATGAACTGAACTAGTTCAGGGTGAATAATGACAGCAATATGACTCAAAATGTGAGAAATTCACAGCAGCTTGAATGTGTTCAAAACTATAACACTTATACTTATTTATTTTGATTAAATAACACAAGGCATGTCTGCAGTATTACAGAGAAACATTCATTACCAATGAAGTGCAGTAAAAAAAACCTCAAGGGCAATGAAAATACTTTCAGACTAGTGCGCTCATGGGAAATGTTGTTTGTGTGTTCTGTAGGCCTGTAAGGACTTTCAGGATGAGGGGACATGTAAGGACGCATGTCCACGGCTCATGCTCTACGACCCCAACACCCACCAGCTCGCTCCCAACCCTGATGGGAAGTACAGCTTTGGGGCAACGTGCATCAAGATATGCCCACGTAAGGCCAGTCAAGATGCGATTCCTCATTTTGTCTTTCTACTTGAACACACAACCAGATTCTTATTACATCTTTTATGCGAATCCAAGCTGTTAGAAGGGTAGTTCACCTCGAAATTAAAATGTTGTCATCATTTACTCACCCTCATGTTGTTCCAAACCTTTCTTCTAATTTTCTGTTGAACACAAAATACAGATATTTTAAAGAATGTTGATAACCAAACAGTTGTTGGTAGCCAATGACTTCCATAGTATTTTTTTCCCTTTCTTTGGAAGTCAATAGCTACCAGCAACTATTTGGTTACCATCATCCTTCAAAATATGTTCTGTTGTGTTCAACAGAAGAAAGAAACTCAGTTTTGGAACAACATGAGTGTGAGTAAATAATGGCAATTTCTTTTTCATTTTGGGGTGAACTATCTCTTTAAAGGGGTCATATAATGCGATTTCAATTTTTCCTTTCTCT